TTTGTTTCTATGGGAAGGTATTAAATTTTTTTTAAACTAGTTAGGATGTCCCTAGAAGCATGCTGCTGTATGTAGACCAAAAGCCTCAACACGACTCTATGTGTGCAAAGAAAGCCTTAATGAATTATCACATGAAATTTCTTCCTAAAAAGGCTTATATTCGCATAAGTCAACATGAGCTACCTTACTCTTCTCAAATGAGTTAAGAGTTTTCTGTTTTGTCCATTATAACAGAGGTACACTTCGATTCTTATCCAATCTTTTTAAACCAAACAATTCTTACATTCCAAATTTTTTATCAAAAGATTTGTCCTTGAGGTTTTTGATCAAACCAATCAAAACCTAGACAAATCACAACTCTGTGTTTATGATCTATCATCATGAGTCCGTGATGAAAGTGAAACCCAAAAATCATAAACCTTAAGGAATTGACGGGGAACTTTGTTCCAGATTTTTACGAAACCTTTGTTTCAGTATCAAAAATTTCGAAACTTCAAATCATATTCAATTCGCATGTGTGGTCTTGATCAAATATTCAGAACCAAGAATGTTTGTTACCCAACAAGATCCAGAACAAAATTTTCTTTTGAATATGATTTCAGTGTAAGTTTTATTCGCAAATCCTTGTCATGATAAATATTTTCAAAAGCCAACTTGTCACTGACTACACTGGTCAAACAAGTAATTTCATTTACAATTTCTCACCTTATGTTAAGGTTGATATGTAATGAAATTTCAAACCAATCCAAAATGACTTTTAAAAGAAGCCCTTTGATACTTCTCTACAAGTATTCGATTGTAATTCACGGGAAACTACACAAGCAGTTGATTATCTCTCTTGATAATTAACGAAGCAACCTTTGCCCGGGGTTTTACTGCATTCATGTCAAATTGAATTTTGACATCACAACATTACAAATATCTTTGTTTCTTATCTTATTTCGTTGGCACAATGCACACACGAAATCCTTGAGGTTCTGAGTAAAACCAACTCAGACTGATGATTTCGCAAGTCTGGCATATGACTTCACTTTAAATCCCAAAAGTGAATGAGCCTTGCTTCCATGCGAAGGGTTTTACCGGTTCGAATTCTATAACGGATACTTGACAGGCTGTATACTCAAAATCGTTGGTATTTTGTCCGGTTTTCGAGGAGATGTGACAGTTACTTTTTGGAATGTTGTTACCTTTTGCAGTCATGATCCGACTTTCAAGGTGCCACGTCGGATAACATTAAATGTATCCCGCTTCAATTTCAAATCAATTTTGAGCAACCTATAAAAGGGGGTTAAAGAACACTGTGTACGGTTACGCAAACAAGAATTCTCACATAACTTCCAAGATTAAACCTTGATCCAAACTTCAACTTTCTTTTTCAAAACCCTAACAATGGCAGCCACTACTTCCAACACTGATGAGGTTCTTTCTCAATCCCTGATGAAGATTCAAAGCACAATTACCAAGTTGATCCGAAAGTTTCCGCTTATCCAGAAGAATTGAAGATGCTTATTGTTGCTCTGAAACGATCATCTTTAGCAACTGCCATGTTCTGTT